AAACACGACAATGACATCTATTCTCGACGATGGCGCCATTTGGCGGCAATCTGGGGGCGCCAAACTATATTGCAAAAATTAGTCATCACCGGGGATCGAACTCTGGACCATTTCTTCACCACTGTTTTGACATTCCTGGAGGCGTTCAGGAAAAATGGATCATGGTTCTGTGTTCCTCGCATGAGCCCCTACAACATGCAGAAAACCATTTCAAAAAAGCGCTCCATGTCCTGAAAGACCTCCCTTGTAGAGACTATCGTTCTTGTTGTACGATGCCTTCACCTACACTCACCTCCCGTAATGTTGCTATGCTTCATTTGTTTCATAACTCGACTCTGATAGACTGCCTGCTTTTTGAGCGCTCTAGGATCCCCTTGTCGACTCAGAAGATTCCGAAATCGTGACCTCATGCTAGTCTGCGAAGTGAGTACCACAGCACCCATTCACCTAATCGGTATCCTTTGCTTCTCCCATGGCCATTTATTATCTTTGCACAAAGTTGTCCTTTTGAAGCATCTTCACTACTGAACTACAGGGGGAGAGGGCAAAAAAGTCATTCTGCCCATGGATCAAATCAGCAAGCTTTTCGTCGCGCAGAGTGCAGCCGTTGCTGAAAGTTTTATGACAAAATATTCCTTGGATGTCCCCCCTTCAGGCCCTCACCGTCCTCGACATATGCCATCGCCGTCGAGTACAAAGCGGCCTATAGTATTCGATCCATTCTGAAGCTGCTACGTAATTTCTCCAAGCGATTCACTGCTTGTTAGCTTTCTAAGTTCTGAAGCTCTGCCAGGGTCAACCGTGCGTTCGCACTATTCGAACGAGGGGGTCGCATTTGTGGTTGGTTTTGGTGAGGGGGGTCGCATTCAGGGGTTGAGTGGGATTAGTAGTTTGTTGGGTGAATGGTTTTTTGAGGGATTTTGTGGATGTAATTGGGAGGTAGGATAGGTGGGAGTAGAGAATAGTAGAGAATATTTGCCGTTTCATTTGACTAATATACCGCTGCTCGACCGCAATTTTGGATGGAAAAGTGGGCGGAGTTGGGCTGTGTCGACTGGTCTTGAATACTATAGAAACACCATGATGAGGGTGGTGGTCGGAGAAAGGGGAAGGGGGATCGTATGGGGGAGCATCCTGAGTCTCATGGTGGTGGGGGGTCGCATCGAGACCCCCCTAAAGGGGGGGTCGCGAAATTTCTGAAAATGTGCGAACGTCACGGTTGACCCTGAGCTCTGCCTATGCAAGATCTCTTCCGGCTAGCACTTCACTTATTGTCTTCATGGTCTACCAGCCATCGAATACCTTCTTGAGCTTGAAGCGTGCTCCATGGTCCCGAGGGGAATTCGTGAGAAGTCTTCGGTGCAGAAGATTGTTGTGAAGTTTGTTGATAAGTTCGAATTTGCTTTCAATATTAAGCTTAATCGTTCAGTTTTCTTTTAGCCAACTAATGAATACCGTTTTGAATTGGAGGCGAATTACTTTTTTGGCAACCCCTTCAACTTGGTGTTGATGTTTTCGCATTAGTATTCCATCCAAGGAAAAATGGGAATCGATGGAACCACTGTCCAAAAAAATCAGTAACTTTGATTTCAGGCGTCACTCTAATGGCAACAGAGATCGTCGCAATTTGTTGGAGAAACACCGAAATGACAAAGATGCTGCTCTACTCAGTGAAAAATTGACCGCGTTCTCACAGAGCTCCATCGCCATCGTAAATTCCAACGATCGGCTCCTTCATGCCGACATCTGCTTTTCCATCGAAAAGACTCCACCCGTCGTGATAACCATGGGTAATTTCTTGCTTATTCAGTTTCTCAAGACGACTTTATCTTGGTGGTGGTCAGATTCCAGGTTCTTTACCCTTTGATACGATCAGAGCTCTATTCTTCTGTGGGACAGATTTAGTGGTGGAGGTCGATGAAGCTGCCCCGGCTGAGAACATAAAGGGACTTATAGAAACGGTGAGTCACACCTTCAGGAATGGTTTACTAGAACATACCTGCTATTTTGAATGAATCTTGCTACTGCAGTTCTATTTTGTTAGCAATTCAAAAATCAGAGTATTATCACAGGATTCTCACAACTATGAAATGGTGCTATTCAGATTAGCCAGGGCTCCGATCTCATGGGAGTGTTGTCTTCTTTTCGATGTTACATGAGCTCTAAAGAAGCTTTCTGTCACATCGCCACCATAGAAGATAAGCTGAATCGAGCAGAACTCGGTGGCATTTCCTACCATAGAACATAAGCTGATCGACAGGCAAGAACGGTGACATTTCGGATCTTCGCAGTATTTTCCCGTTCGAAAGTAAGGCTGCAGAGTAGATTCCATACTCTCTCTCTCCCTGCTGCTTCTCAGACACCCATATTAGAACCTTCGCCCAGCTTCCCCTCTCGCAACAAATCCATGGTCGTACTTTCATTGTGAATCTCAGTACCTCCGCAATCTAATGGTCTACAACTCCACGGTTACGGTCTTCCTCAAGACAAGTCCTGTGCCTCCAATCAACTGAACCTCCCCAATACCCACTCAGCACTGGCAACCTTTCAACAATCGGAAAATGCCTTCGAACCATATTACATCTGACGAACGCGCGCGAACGCGTTTACATCACTGGATTCTGTGTGCCACCCAATTAAACAGCGCTACGATAGATTTCAAGGGTTTAGGGGGGACGTGGGGAGGCGCTCATGTCCTTGGGGGGGGACATCAACAACAAGGCCGATGGCAGGTGACACTGGGACTAAGCCCAGGAGAGGGGAGAAACGCCAGGGAGCACACCTATTATTACTATTCTTCCCATAAAATCCCTTCATCTGCCTGAAGCTCAGTCTCAAGTACAGTAATTGGCTCACTCACTGGGATGTCCCCCAAGGACATGAGCGCCCGTGGAGATCTCAATAGTACGCCAATGGCGAAAAAAGCAAAGAAATCCGTCAAAAAAAGCAAAATAATACCTCCTTTACTGCCACTTATCATTTCGACATGATAGGCGACGGTAAAGAATGAGACGTTGTTCGGACGTGTTAACCCGATAGCCGCCATCATGCCAACAAGCATACTGTTTTGATTGATAAGGCATTACATGGGCAAGTTGGAAGATACAGCCGATAAAAGGGAAACGATCTCCCAAAATGAAAAGCCAACAGCAGACAGCTCGCCCAAGTCATCATCTGAACAAGTGGGCGTAACGCTGCTGGAGGCGGAGTGCTGCGGAGGTCCTGCTCAGCAACCACAGCACCTTTCGCCTGTGGAAAGCGCCCACATCATCGCCCTCCGCCAGTCAAGTACCCTGCTCGCATTTGGTGAAGGTTATCCCCTGATGTCAAATTCCTTTAATCGTAAATCGGTTTCTTTACCCTACACTGCCTTTGCGACTTTCGACCCCCAGCTGTTAAATTTCGTAACCCTGAGCAAATCCGACGAAGAAGAGTCGAGGTTGGTGCAATACCAACCACCACAACGAATTCCATTGAAGAATTCCCCCAACCAGCTGGGGCTGCTACTGCAGAATCTCAGAATCCAAAAAACGACACCACTCATTCGCTGATCACATTCACACAAGGAGGAGAAAACAACTGCAGCCAAGCTTACGACATTACCAGGCACGCATTTCAAGCTTTTCAGCGCGTACTTCGATGTATGGAGACCACTATCCATCTGGTTCGCTCATCGGAGTTACACCCACATGACTCATGCCATCAAGTGTCTAGAGGCGTCTATTGAAGAGCCTCTCAGGACTGCGCTAGAGCATATAAGTGTCTAGAAACGTCTATTGAAGAGCCTCTCAGGCTGCGCTAGACCGTACTCCCACAGATTCACAAGGATCTGGTAATGAGACCTCAACAGAATGGAGCTACATAAAGGAGGATTCCACGATAAGAACGAAGGTCGAAGAAGGGAGACTTGCCTAGTGGGGAGATGGGCGGACCTCCTGAGGATGCGGACCATACACCCTCTAGTCGAACGGAAGGTATATGCCCCGTGGCATTAGACATGCCTTGTCCACATTTGTTGCCGCAGTTTTGGACCGGCACGTCCCCCCGGACTGTACTCACGTCGACGCAGTCTATATCCGTGATCATTAACGATAGCAAGGACAGCGTGGTGAAGAGTCACAACTATGACACCTCAATCCATCGTCCAACCACGGCAGGAAGGGTTCTCCGTTTCTAGTTTCGAGCCGTTTTACATGGTTCCGTCTTTATCCCTGCTTCACTGACCACCTCTACCCTCATTTCTGATGAGCTAACTTTTCATAATGAATCCTGCCTTTGAATCATGATTACAAAAATAATTATTAATTCTTCGCTGTCCACTTCATTTAAAGAAAGCTTCACCTTTTGAACGATTCGATTCAACACCTTATAGATCCGACAACGTGCCAGTGAATGACCTCTTTTCCACCGAGACCGGTGAAACACTCCTCCGCAACCTGTGCCAAAGCCTTCTACACACTAAAAATGGTACACAGTTCCCTTCAAAGCTATAGTGAGTAAGTATTACAACGTCACTTCAGACATAGCGTCAACGTCGCCAAGAAAGGACATAATGGCTACAAACGATGCAAATCGTTCAAGAAGAAGGAAAGAAGAAATTCCGGAATCGGTCTATATAGTAAGTTGTAAAATGGTTCTCCATTACCTATTCGATCAACTTCAATTCAGCGGGTATTTGTCTGATGGTGCTGATGGATGCCAAAGCGACTCAGTGTATGTTCGACCTCTCAGCGACGTGCTTTCACAATCACCTTCTTCAGCAATCTGCTCTGCTGTCGAGTAGAAGTCATGTTCAAAGTTTATTAGTGAAATGTGATCATTTGTGCATCTATAATATAAATATGCTTATCACGGTCTTCTGAATAACTCGATGATAACATGAAAGCGTACACAAAATTCCAACAAAATTGTAAACCCGTGAAAATCGACGCTTTGCTCGATGAACGGGTGGAATGACAAGTGTGTCTCAGAATACAATCGTGTCAACGAAACGAGGTGAATCAGACCGGTTGGACGTAGTTCCCAGGGAAGAGCCCCGTCACTCCATCCAATACGCCTTCATACCATCCGTCATCGTTTTTTCTCAGCACGTACACAATACAGTTCTCTCGCAACGATAACTCATCCGGTTTGTCCGCATCATAATCGTACAGAGCCACGGCTAAAAGTAAGACAAAGTATGGAAGCGCCGTCAAGAAAACACACAAACACAAACAACATCCCTTGAAGTTCATTTCAAGGGTCTAAATTGTCAAGCCACAAGTGAGCCAATGAGTACAGATTTTTACAGGTGCGCGCAAAATGCTATCTAAGCGGAGCCCAGCAAGAGTTGGATAGCTAGATAGTTGGTAGGATAGAGGGGTGTGGTTCACTAGGACAGAAAGCGACTTTTTCGCGTTTCGCGCGCGAAACATTTTTCGCTGCGGGAACTCCAGGTCCACTCATGATCAGCGGTGGACCTGAGGTTCCTGCAGCGAAAAATGTTTCGCGCTGCGAAACGCGAAAAAGTCGCTTTCTGTCCTAGTGAACCTACACCATGAAGAAGGTGTGACCGAATGACTCTGATTTGGCGCTTGTGTAATACTTTTGAAAACAAAAATTGAAGCAAAACGCACGTACATAAAAGATAAATATGGGTAGTAAAGCGGTAAGGAGGCGTCCAAGCGGACGAAAAACAACTCCTTCGCAGTTTCCTTTCCACCTAAAAGCATCCAGCACCGACCGACTGCCTCTCAATCATCATGGCCAGATCAGAAGCGTTTAGCTTCACCCAATGACCTATATATTAGTGTTAGCGTTTACTCTCTCATCCCTACCGGTATTAATTAATCGCGCATGCTGCCTTAGAATTTCTACCAGTTTCTCGCTCTCAATACGACTGCCTGGAATCAACTTGTGCTGAGCGAGTGAATGAAATTGACAAACGTTAGTGTGGTCAGTCCGTTGCACCAATGTTCAACCAAATAAGCACAGAGACCGCGAAAGACGGTGGTTTTGTACCTCAACATTACCCTACAGTTACTGCTTTTGAACATACAGTTCTCATCACAACGATAAATCATCAAAGGAATTCCCACTCAGCGTGAACCCGCATCTCACTAGTTATTTATCGCATTTTATACTTTTGAGTATAAGATTCATGCTCATTCTGCGTCGCAACCAATCTCTATTCCCCTCGAAACCCCGTTTGATCAACTCCCAAACACCGCCCCCCCCCACAGGAAAATTCTAATACAATACATTTAGCAGCCAAGTTACAAGGGATAAACCGCTATACTTTACCGCTTTGACATACAAAATCAACGATAACTCATCAAGGGACTCTACTCACATTTTATACTTTTGAATATAAGATTCATGCTCATTCTGCGTCGTGAATAATCTCTGGTTTGGACTGGATTGCCGATAACCCGTCAGACACGCCCAAGAACAACTTTAGTACGAAGTTCCAGTAAGCCCTCTCTAACAATGAGAAGCCTCTCCATAGTAATACAATAACAGAACCACAATGCTGATGACCTGACTAAGGGAACGCAATACCATGGCAAACAGTTTTACTCCTCGCACGGTCGAGATTTTTTGAACTTGAAACCCTCGGCTCGCCGTCCACTGACCTACACGTGGTGTGCGGAACCACACTTCTGTGGACAAGAAATTGGTAGGGAAGAAGCTATCCACAGTTACACAGAGAATATGTCATGCGAAGCATACCTTTTTCTATGTAGTTACGAGGAACCCAGTCAGCGTGTGCATCGAAAAAGTTGGCTTGAGAATTTGGAGGAGGAGGCAACGGTTCATCTTCATGAGTTGAGTTCAGCATCTGCATCGCCGGAGGAGGAAGATCTGTAACTGTAATAAATGAGAAAGAAGTATGTATACACGTGTACAACAATAGTACTATTGAACACAGCGATTTCAAAAAGTACAGAAAAACAAACACACAACGCCTCAAAAAGAAGACTAACCATCTGACTTCGTGAAGCCGACATAGCCGTAATGCGAACTGAGCTGAGGAGGAGGCAACGGAAATCCCGGTGATTCAGCCCTTTCTTCATTAATCACACTACCACTTTCACCTCGAACGGATGGATGGAGTCTCAGGGTTCCTGAAAGCAGCGTCACTGATTTTTATTTCCGTCACAATTGAACTACCCCAAACTTTCCTCGGTTTTGCGCATGAATTATTATTAAAGGCAACTCATATTCGTCACTTTTACTTTCTGCTCATGTAGCTGTCGATACCACGAAAAAAAATGGAATACCACTGAGTTAGCAGCCAATTACTAGATTTTGGGTGAACCAAATTTGGCTGAAGTTCAAAATGCGCAATAACGTGAGGATGGGAATGAAGCTCGTTCTCGGCGTGTCTACCCGATTAAAAGAGCTACTTGCTACGCACTTGCCAGCGCTACTACGTGCCCGACAAAGCTGATATCTGATCCTGTTGACGGAAATAAGTATACCGTCGCTACTCACATCCGATATTGAAAAATTATTACATTCTACAGCAAAAATCAACTGTTTCTAACTCAGCGTATGCACTAATTTCAGAGTAAAAGCTTACCATATCTGTCTTGCATACTAATTCTTCCTAAGTCGGAGGCTCCATCTGACAGAACACTACCGTCAGCGCTCCCTCTTACATTCATCTGAGCAAATTCAGCTACAGATTGATGTTGAGAAACGGGACCCATTGACATGTATCGCTGATGATCCATCAGTGGCATAACCTAAATTGAAACAATCATCCCAGAAGTAAATTAGTGGGGAAAAGAAAAAAGTCTAACCAGCGGAACTCTATACTGCTCCTGTGTATTCATGTTCAAATGACCACTGCGCATCGAAGAACGACCCAACTGAAGGTGTGACATTTCAAATGTAAAGGAAGAAGTGAAAAAGCACACAAAGGATATGCAAAAAAACTCAACAGAATTAGAAAGAGATAAGAGAATAACAATAATTGATTAGCCAGAAACACAAGTACAAAATGCTCTGAAGAACTAACTGTGTTCGTCCCGATGTTTGCTGTGCGCTCATACTGGACGTAATGCATTGAATAAGGTTGTGATCCAGAGACACTTGAGGCGGCTCGAGACACTAATCCACCACGATGTTGAGGCACCTTCAAACAAAAGGCTATGGTAAAGAAGAGCAAGTCAAAACAAATAAAAGCCAACCTCACAACGAACACCATGTCCTATTCCATCCAAAACAGAAAAGTCTATTGGTGCACGTCTGTATCGTTGAGGCGGTTCCTGCAAACCTCATGGTGCTTTTAAATAGGATAAATGAATAATAAAAACAAATAACCTCCTACTGACAGCCAGGCTGCGATTACTCGTGGCTGCTTCTGATTTTATTTGTCGTCAGCGGCCGATTTCTCTTCGTGCGAAGCTTATCTCTTTGTTGGATAATGCAACAACCTGAGCATACACTCCTTTGGGACTATTGCACATCTAGCAACAACTACTATTCCAAAATATTATGGACTAGAAATGAAAAAGGAAAACTGCCCACAAATCTTAACTGTACACGTACCACATCTATATTTTCCACTTGACCGCTCAGATTTGAAATTTTATCGGTCTGTAAATCCAGCATATCCAACAAATCCCTGAAAAAAAGAACAGCTAAGGCGACATAGTTGATAACGACGTTATGTTTTCACCTTGCAAGAGTATTTATCTGATACGCAACACTGGCGAGGGACTGCAACGCAAACTGCTTTGTTTCCTCAAACGACGCATTCCGATCCTAAAGTATATGGCTTTCATGGAGAAAACTTAAAAAAAACAATAAGACAGAGAAAGACCCCAAACTCATGTCAAGTAATCCAATTTTCTTATTGCTTCGACATCGTACGGAAATTAAAAATTAACAACTTGTCCGACATCATACAAATACCCCACCAACCAGAATCCCCGATTTTAACAATTAGATGTGATACCCTTCCGACCCTCCCTTTAGATCCATACCCACCTTTATAAAAGATATTTCATGCGTTCAAACATATTTTTAGCCATTCAGAAGTCATGGTGAACCCTACTTTAACATCTCGTGGCAACTAAAAAGATCAAAACCAGTTGTAAAAATATCTGTTTTACGATTTTCGACATCCATCCGGAACAGCTCTCACAAGGGTTTCATCGCTGAGGAGCCGGGAAGCATCCTTTTCTTTGCGATTCACGCCAGCGCGAAGACTTGTTCATCGCGATGGGGACTCTTCCGTCCACCCCAAATTCATGTCTGGACTCGGTCCTGTAAGGAGAGTTTCGCGGCACCGAAAATCGGAAAAGAATCTCTCCTAGCGACCGGCTCACCCTTTACACATCGTTGCTTCTTTGAAAGATGACTCACTCAATGCCAATGTCAACACGTCGCGATGATCCATTGTATGTCCCTTCGCAATCCCCCCCACACCTCACCTAACGGACCGCACCCAACTATATGCTCCATGTACAACGTCCGAGCAATAAATGAATAGCTTAAACCAGATATGTGCGTTACCGCGCAGCCCCACCATTTCATTTGATAGCGTTCCTGAATTACTGCGTTACAAAGGCGGCGGGCCGCGTCGAGTGATAGCCCTAAACATATCTTGACTGGACGCATCCGAGGAAACACCACAGCCATTAAGGTTTCTCAACCCAGATCAAACTCTAAGCTGTAGCGGGCAACCATACGGCACACTTCCGTGCACATCCAGGTTGAACGTGAATGCAAGAAGTTTCAACCAACTAGAATTGTCCGTGAAAATTAAAAAAGTACTTAACTTTTGGAGTCACCAAGGCTAACCACCTAATTTCAGCTGCTGAACACTATTTTCCTTCATTTTTCTCTAGCGAACATTTTTAATAAGATTTTTAAAGAACTCTTCAATCATCATTAATTCGGACCTACATAAATTTTAGTCAAGGAATTCATCCTCAACGAAAATCTATCACTGCGCTCCGCGAGTGAAGAGCTAGCAAACGTTTATGTTTACTCGTATTTCCTCAGACTTTACGAATCAGACCTACTCTCGCAACAAACCGCGAAGCCAATGAATACAGTCGAGATCCGTAAGTTGGGGTAGGCGTGTCAACCGAAGAGTGACGTGGACTTGATAGAGGTTGCGTAGGTAAGTCGCTGCCAGCATGCTTTGCTGATATCTCGCGATATATATTGGAAGCACCTTATCCACATAGATTCTATCAAGTACACGTCACTTCCGGTGACACGCCTACCCCAACTTACGGATCTCGAGTATATGTAGGTCTTTGCAGGAATCAATTTGTTTAGGGATGAAGCAATTAAGTTCTAAATAGAATGGCTTTGTAGGTTTTTTTGTGAAACAGTTTGTGTGGTCTGATAAATCAATAATATGCAAGCAAGTACAAAAATAACGAAATGGCTCAAATACTGCTCACTCACCACGGCGTTGAGGTAGTTGGCCTCGCAATAAGCAGCAACGTTTTCTAGATTCAGATGGCTGGTTTCCAGATGCGCTCTATGCTCAGGAATGCGTGACTCGATGAGCGTCCGCAGGTCGTTCCCGGCCATTCCACCTCCATTTTCATCTAACATCATCGTAAACTAACGTTCGAACAGCTTCGCCACATGGAAACGTTGACAAAAAGGTCGATAACAGCAGCAAGCGATTAGAAGCAGCAGTCACGCCGGAAGTCTGCAAGTACACTAAAACACAATAATTTACGCCAATAATTCTAATCGACGTTGTACAGTGAGATCAAAACATCTTCAGCTTTAGATGCTTAACGTACTTCATGTGACTATTCTGCTAGTCGCTTTCCCAAATGTTACTCCATCCTGGAATGCGGAAGAATTGGCCCTATATGATTTGGTTGAGGAAATCAACAGTAATTTCTATGAGCTCTTTGGTATCGCAAAGGTATGTCGTCGCATTTGATTTCTGGGCTTGCGATTGCTGTTTATCATAAGCAAACCGAGCAGGAAGTAAATATTTTGTCATTTTTAGTCTGGTTGAGATCGCTTAGGCGCGATGGTGGTGGAAGCTGATTTAAATTCGCTGGAACTCTCCAGTTTAGATCCTAGAAACTTTCACAGGTTCGACAAGGTGTTGGTAGTCTCAAATGGAACAAAGTCTATTTGGCGTCTGAAAATTCGTTCATTGGTTTCAGTGGGAACGGCCATAAACGTTATCAGACTACGTCCTGGATGACCACCGTTAGCTGAAATTGGCAGAGGCGGTGCAGTGGTTGGAGCGCCACGTCTGTAATTCTGTATGAGATCTGATCGTTATAATCAAGCCCTCCGAGGGTCCTGACCAACTATTAGCCTTGTATTTGAGAAAAAAAACCGTGGCTTGAACATGCACTGGCCCTAGTAAGTTACTTCAATATGATAAAAATAGCTAATCAAGTGCCTTTCGGAGTTGACGAAGTAGGATGCCTCACAAAAAATTGATCGCTCTGTTCTATATTCGATTTGTTGAGGATCTATGAGCAGGTATCGATCTATTGACAATAATCTCAGCAATACCCAGTCACAATTTGGGTTTCTCGGGCAGTATGCCTCAATGTTGGCGAGAGATGGATCCCGAGCGAGGGATTATTAACACATTGACGACCGCGCGCGTTTTGGCTTTTTTGGCCGTGTGGGACCGGGCCGATTTTGCGAGTGCGACCGCCGCACCTCGGATCCGTGAATTTTTATTGATAACTTTTTAAAGCACCAGTGGTACAAAAACATCTCAGTAACAGTCAATGCGTAGAAGGTAATAGAGTATATAGTGACGAAGTTCCGATTAAAGAACATGGGCTCCCCCACTTTCTTCACGATTTGGGGCGCGGCCGCGGCAAACCCGGCCGAGTCGATAGTGCCCGCGAACTGTGTGGGTAAATTTGAAAACGCATCACCACCACAGTTCGCGGGCACTATCGACTCGTCCGCGCTCGCCGCGGCCGCGCCCCAAATCGTGAAGAAAGTGGGGGAGCCAAAGAACATGTAATGGTAATGAAAAAGGAAACTTTAGTCATTTTATCTGTAGTGGATGCCAAAAGCTCTTTTGATGTGGTTATACCAAGTGAAACATGTATTTTTCTGTCTCTTTAGATTTGCATTTACTTTCACTACCCTTTTTTATTGACGTGTTCATGAGAATAGCATGAAAACTATTAATGAACCAAGCCGCCGGTTTCGGTGAGCTTGGAAAACTTCTTCTAAACTGGAGCATATTTGAACAAACAATGACCTATGTCGTTCACAATAATGTTATGTTCTAATCCATAGAAGAGAGACAAACAATTCGGGAAAAAGCTGCGCATGCCCTAGAAAAAGGGATGATAAGGGTGAGACGCGGTAACGCGTCTCAATGTCCAACGAGGTGCGCAAAGTGAGACGCGTTACCGCGTCTCAATGTCGTCAATGTGTTAAATTCGGTCGTATGGTTGAGATAGTATGCAAGTGGTGCAGCTAGGTCCAGCAGCTCCGCCAAAAGGGCTGGTTTGCTACCCCAGGACTAAGCCTTGGAGAGAGGACGGACCTGCGAGAGACTTCCCCTCTCTTTAAGGCTTAGTCCCGAGGTAAGCATCAAATTGAGACGGTTTTGAGGACCGAGTTGAAGTAGTCCGTCGACCGTCGGGGACCCCACCCCCTCCCCAACATTCAGCACATGGCCCCAGCAGGAAACGCCAACGAGCTTGTTTGCTTT